CTGGGAATCCGGAGAGCTCTCAGGAAGATGCCTCGCAGCCCGCCAAGGACGCCCCCTGAGCCCCGCAGCCCTTCTTGAACAGGGGCAGGGGGCTCCTCAGGAGTCTCCAGGTTTCCAAGTTCAAAGGCCCCCTAAGGCGTGCCAGGGAGGAAGAGTAAGAGATGCTCGACAGGCTTAGGACGAAAACAGGTGTTTTGTGTACGTTTGGAGTTCCTGTTTTGCCCGTTTCTCACCCTTTTTGCCACCCCACCCTCTACCCGCTCACACCCACCCCACCCCTCGCCCCCGCTGTCACAGATCCTCTGTGAGAAGTACTGGTTAAGTGGTATTACCCACCGTAAATTTAGTCCACGCCCCCTCCCCTTCCCAGATATCAAGCCTGGTTCTGGGAGTCTGTTGGGTAGGAGAGCCATGTGGAGCCAGGCAGAGTGCCTGGCACTAGGGTCCTTTGACTTCAGGGCGTGGAGCAGCAGGTGTGTCTCCCAGCTGCCTCTTTAGGAGGCACTCAGATTAACTGAGGACCTCTGAGAGTTAAATTTACGGGTCAGTATTTTGTGTTTTCTGGCTTTTTTGAGAAGTACCTGCCTTTCAGAGAGGTGAGGATGCCAGGTTGCCCTGTTGAGAGGTGTTTGGAGTGGTCTTGATACCTTGCACTTGTTTGGAGAGACTGGGAGTTGGGCCCTGTTCAGGCACTAGTCCAGGTGGGAGCTGGGGGAGGGAGGTTGGAGTCCTTGGCGCCTTTGCTCGCACTTTATTGACAAATTGACCTCAAACCCCTTGTCCCCTTAATTTCTCAATTCATGTGCATATATATGTCATAGGTCATATATTTGTGTTTCTGATGCATGCCCCTCCCCCCCCACGGGTTATTTTACCCAATCGTGGTCCCAAATTTTTGTAGCGTTACTGTTCTTATTTTTTATTTCTTTAAATTTTTCCAAGTGCACTGGGCTGGAAAAAGAGAAACCCAGACCGACTGATTTGCCCTCAAATTCCTAGATGGCAGAAGTGGAGGAGAGGGCTAGTGGTCCCCTGTGTTCAGAAGTGCTGTGAAGATGCATAGGGGAGCCCTGTCAGGCCTGCCATCTCAAGTCTGTATGTATTTTTCTGGAGACCAAACCAGATGCCAGATAATCAGAAGGAAAGCTTGTTAAAAAAAAAAAAAATAAGGCATAAACCAAGACCTTGTCTAGATATTTTTAGTTTGTTGCCAAGGTAGCACTGAGAAATCTCACTTGAATGTTACGTAAGGGGTGAGACACAAGTCTGGAGTGAAGACATTATCTGGGTCTGTGAGTGTGTTCGGTCCGTTTGCTGCTGCTGCTGTTGCTACTGTTTGCCTCAAACGCTGTGTTTAAACAACGTTAAACTCTTAGCCTACCAAGGTGGCTGTATGTACATAGCTGTTAATACACCCAATTAATGACGTCTGACATGCTATTTTTGTAGGGAGAAGATATGTACTAATGGTATTTTGAGTTAAAATATCTTTTTTTGGGGGGGGGGGACTTGGTGAGAGTGTTTGCACTTTGGTTACGATGCTTATAATGCTTGGTGCAAGCTTTTGCTGTCTTAAATTATTAAACAAATAAATACGTCTGCAAGAAACCAGCCGGTTTAGACAAGTTTAGTATGTAAAGATAAGCTAGAAACTATCTTTATACTCTGGTATTTTCAGCACTCCTTAAATTCTATTATCTAAATATTGCCACACTATTTTGTGATTTAAAACTTCTTACCAAGGAATAAAAACTTTATATATGATATGAGGTTGTCTAATAATTAAACAATACTGAATACCCCCACAGAGACTTGTGTGTATCAGGACAAGAGCTCATCCGGGGTCATCAGACAAGGTTTGTCTGTTTGGTTTTGGTTTTCTGTCATTGGTCTCCAGGGAGACTCCTGGTTTTGGCCCTGTGTCCCAGCTTGTCTCCAGTCTATCAATGAAAACTACAAAAGGAATCACCTAGCAGTCACTGGTGGCTTGTTTGCCTTAACCCCAGTCGGCTAATGTTTTTCTGATTTACCAGGTTTTGGTCCATGACCTCAGATAGCCTCTCCTGTGTGGTCTGGTGTTTCTCTCTCACCCAGGTTCTAAACACACTACCACCTCAGGCGGATGTTTCATTCATGAGTATAGTTTGCCTTCTTAACTTTCACAAAATAACCCTGGTATGGGACTTCTCCTTGGAGTTCAGGAAACACTTTCAAGACTTTTCTCAAGTGTGTGATCAAAACTGTGGTTTGAGACAAAGTGCACTGGAGGGCTGTCCATTTTCTTTGGAGTGGTGTTGTTGAACCCCTTGATTGAAGGTGTATAAGCCCGTAAGCGGCAGTTTGTAAGATGTAGGGAAAGTGCTCCCTCTGCCGGCCGTGACAAGCAAACCCGGCAGAGCAGACCTAAGCCACAGCCTCAGACATCTGCTAGCTCAGTCCCCTGAGGTGTGTGTACTGAAAGTCAGGCAAGGTCACACAGACGCTGAGGGCCAGTGCTTGGCCTCATCCCCTTCTGCTAGATAACTTGTGCTACTGCCGAGCTCTAGCGAGCTCTAGGCCAGGCATGCTCACTTTAACCAACCACAGAAGGGTTGGAGAGCCTTGGTAAAGAGTCAGTCACAGGAAAGATGGCTGGCTCTTAACTAAAAGCTGGGAAACGGCATTTTAAGTATTTTGATCTACATTTTGTTGCCACGGTCGTCATGACCTAAAGAAGATGGCAGTAAATCAGAAGATAAAACAGTTGACATTTGCATGATTTTGTATCATGTAGTAAAAATTTTTTTTAACTTTGGCCAGATTTTATAGGTCATTTATTTAGTCTGCAATATATACAGTCACAGGATAAAACTGTGAAGTTAGGGCAAAAAAGAAAGTACATTATTTCCCACATTACATCTGAAAATGTGCTCTTCTGTGTCTCTAGCGGTGGAACTCAGGACCTTGGGCAAGCTTGGCCAGAGCGCTACCACTGGCCCAGGCCCTCGGCCTTTGGAAACTATTATTTGAGTCATTGGTGGATTTTAATGAATTACCTGCGAGTCATTAGAATTCACTCAGAAGGTCTCTGTGTCTGCCCACTGGAAGCATTAGCTGAATGTAGTACGTCATGTGATTTTCCAACTTAAACTATAATGCAGTTGGCAGTAGTCCTCAGTTGTGCAGAAATAGATTGCTTGGCCAACTTTTTACTGAATTTATAAATGCCCCACTACCCCTCCAAACTTTATTATTTTCAGGGCGTTAGAAACCACAGCTGTGAAAATCTGGCTAGTATTGGAGTGCCTCACTGTGAAACTGCTTTCATTTAAACCCCTGGCTGACTTCCGGGACCACAGCGTTTGTGATTCCTGTCATGTGGTAAGCAGGACCTTAGCCCTGTCCTGTCTGTCACAGGTCAGTGTTTGTCCTCTACGCGGGAGGTGACTGCCCATGAGGGACTTGGGAAGACAGGGCTGGGCAAACAGGCTATAAAGGGCTTTTTATTTCAGGTAGAGATGAGCAGAGTGAATTAAGACTGCTTCCTTATTGTGAAAGAAGGATTTTTCTCTCAGCAACATGTCTTTACTATTTTTTTCCCCAATCCATTGAACCTTCAAATCAATATATTGAGGACCTTCAACAACCGTTCTCATGACGGTTTAAGCAAGTTCTAGGTAGACTTGTCTGTGCTCACACCCACTTCAAGAGCCAGCTTTTCATGGCTGAATCTGAGTGAGGGAGTAACAGAAAACAGTTTCTGGAGTGCAGAGAAGGGATTTGCACTACAAACATACTATTCTCGGAATTTCATGCCCCTTAAAATTGTATTCCTTATATTTCAGTGCAAACTCCAAGCAAATACAAAACTACTTAAAAAGAAGCTGATGTTTTAAAACTCTGAATCTAGAGATTCTGCCTTAAACAACAGCAGCTCCTAGATTAATGCTATTTTTTTCCCTTAGAAAAACTTGGTAGAACACACACTGAAATTTACTATATCTACCTTAGATATAGTAAATGTCCTAGAAAGATATCCAATGCAAATTAAATGTTTGCTAATAATCTGGGTATTAAAAGCATCACTTTTACATTATGAATTTTGTATTCGGTGTTTGCACTTGGGCTGACCCATACAGAGCTCTTGAATCTGTTTATTTTGAGACGGGGGTCTCACTATGTAGCGCTGACTGACCTGGAACTCCTGTGTAGGCCAAGTTGCCTTCAAACTCCCTAAAGATCCACATGCCTCTGCCTCTGGAGTGTTGGATTAAAGGCATGGGCCAGCACACCTGGTTACATTTGCTTTTTATAGGACTTCCAGCCTGTTTCCACAGCCAGTCTGTCAACCGTCACTTCTCAGTGGCCAGAGAGCCACCTCCAATGCTTGCCTGATTTGGTACTTGTTTACTGTGGGCTGGGACAGAACCACACCCAATTTGCAACGTGTGTCAAAAATGAGAGTAAACAGGTTCAAACAGAGGCCCCAAGGGCTTTGCTGTAAGCAAATTATGTGAGCTTATATTCTTAGCCATGGTTTCTTTCACAAGCTCTCTCTGTTTTCTAAAACTCTCAGATTCTCAGCAGTGCTCCACATCGGATTATTTGACATCTTCAAGTTCTTTATATGCATTTCCATTACTTTCTTAGGTGAAAATAAAATCCACTTGCCAATGGTTTCAGACTGTAGCAAACGATAAGATAACATTCTCCTGTTAGAAATAAGTTATGTGACGGGCTGGATGCTTCTTTCTTTCAGGTCAGTGAGAAAGGGATTCATGAAGACCGATTGGGCATTTCCATTCACGGGTGACCCTGAACCCCTTTTCTGGGTTGTAACACCTACCATGGAACATGCTAGGTACAGGTCCAGCAAGAACATTCTGGAAACTGTCAGAGTGGGGGTGGGGGGCTTTTGTATTCGGACACACCCATGGCTGAGCCTCTGGGGAGAGGCACCAGGCCCTCTGCACACACTCCTTTTCCAAAGCCCAAGACAGTAGGTATGGGGAGCTGGACATCTGCTTTGCTCTTGTTTTATCCAAGAGGCTGTGGTAAGTGCTGGAGTATTAGAGATTAACTCTGTCTCTCTCCGTGCCTCGGGAGTCATAGAACTAGACTCTGACAAATTGCACATAGCAAATGTTCTGCAGTGGCCCATGGCAAGCTGGGGCCGCGCATAGGGCTTGCTGGCTTCCTCTGGGTGCAGTGGGCCAAGGCTTAGAGGAGGTGACTGGGTTTTGCAGAGTGGACAAGCTTTCGTGTGAAGACTCCGACCCCCCAAGTTTGTGTTGCTTTTTAGTTTCATAAATTATATTAATTTGAAGTCTGAGGGAGGACTTCCTATTCTCTCTCTCTCTCTCTCTCTCTCTCTCTCTCTCTCTCTCTCTCTCTCTCTCTCGCTCTCTCTCTCTCTCTCTCTCTCCTCCCCCTCCCCTTATCGCCATGCTGGCTCTAAGCTTCAGAGTCTCCTGTGGAATGGACTAGGGTCCTGACCCCTCCTGGAGTGGGAGAGATAGTTGCACTGATGCGTGTTGACGTCATAGTGCAGAGGGGGAAATGTATTTGTTCACAGTCAGCTCTGCCTTGCCTTGCCTCCTGTGTGGCATGTGTTCTAAGCAAACATACAAAACAAACAAAAATACCCCATGGTGACTTCTGTCCCTTCATAGATGGGATCAATGACCAATTCTCCACTCAGGAGGGAAGGAGGAAACAGGCATCCAAAGAACAACTCTTTCAAACACTTGTGGGAGAGGGCGCAGGCAAGCAACCTTGAGGACTTCCAAGATGAGAACTAGATTTGTTGGCTTGGGGAATTTATGGCTCTTGGTACTATTACAGAAAAAGTTGTTGTTGTTTTGTTTGGTTGGTTTTTGTAAGACTGGGTTTCTCTGTGTAGCCCTGGCTGTCCTGGAACTCACTCTGTAGACCAGGCTGGTCTCCTCAAGACATCTGCCTGCCTCTGCCTCCCGAGTGCAGATTTAAAGTGTGCCCCACCATCACCACGGGGATACACATAATTTGAGAAGAGTTAGTTTTTGTCCTGGAATGAATTGAGCTAGGCCACAAGTGACCTTAAGAGCAACTGTGTGCTAATTGGAAGCCACCGTGCAGGGGCAGAGGTGACCCTGACAGTTGCCTCTCTATACATCAGGACAGCAGCAGTACCCATGCGATGAAATCCTGAGACATTGGTTTCAGAGTCCCTTACAGGGTTCCATTGTTCTCTTGTCCCCTCAGTTTTGGGGGCCATCCAGAAGTGTGTAGCTCCTATGCATGATCAGGCCTGTTTCCCCCTTTCCTCCCTAGTGGCCCTCCCTCAGCTACGTTTTTCCACTAAAGGGACCTGGAACCAAATGACTTGGAACTGGGCAAAAGGGTTTGAGCACGTGGGAAAGAAAGGGAGGACATCGATTTTTGTTATTTTAACACTTTTAAAAGGGTGTGTGTGTGTATCTCACATCCTAGGCTGGATTCAAACTCCATGAGATGCAAACTACTGAACCACACACTTGGTTGGAGTGTCAACCAGGTCTACTTGCGTTATACACATCCCATAAGCATTACCTTGCATTTATCTATTTTTGAGGCCATGGGGACGGAGCTCAGAGCCTGGGGCATCCCAGCCAGGCAAGTGAGCCACTTCCCAGCCCCCCACCCCCAGTTTTTATATAGGGTATTTTTGGTGAACTCCAGCTGGGGTTCGGTTTCTAGGCCCTTTGCATGAAGCATCCTGCGGGCATCCTGCAGTTCTGTGATAAACTCTGCTTCTGTCACCCCGCAG